AGAGAGAGAGAGAGAGAGAGCACCTTATGAGAGAAGCATTCCCAGCAGTAACAGTACCCCCATTCTTCTTAAAACTTGGTCGAAGCTTCCTTAATTTTGCCGCATCAAACTAGCAAGGACAGTTGTAAGCAGAACATACAAATTAATAAAAGGGAAAGTAAACTTAACATGTGATGCTGAAGCAAAAATGAACTCAGAATAAAAGATTTTTTTTTTCCTAAACCTCCAAAATCATGACATTGAAGTTCAAAAGTTAGGGTAAAGGAGGAGGAGAAACATAGTGGTTACAAGAGGTAGAGCTGTGACTTCTTCCAACTTGAGATTGGAAGTGCAACCAATCCAAAACCCTCACTTTTCTTGTCTACAAATTCTATGATACTGGTCAAAATTGTTCAAATCCATATATAGGTAATATTTTTTGATCACTTGAAACTCAACAGTTTTGGAATTCTGATCTGAAAACTAAAACTTCCTATTACTGCTTTGAAAGAAATATATTCTATATAAGTTCATCCCATGTCTTCTCTATTGTACTTACTGTTTTTAAACCATCATCCTTGTCAACAGTTGAAGAAGGCTTTCCTCGTCCCCCAGGAAGTTCAACCTACAGCAGGAGATTGATAATGAACATAGACATTTTATAACATGCTGAAACGTTTTTGCTGTTCAGCACAGAACTAAATCATACCGGAACAATTTCCCATGCAAAGAGACGAGTATCTTGCGCAGAAGTTCCACGCTCAAAACTTCGAATGGCATAAGAATCCTGCAAGGAAACATTGATATAGCCCAATGTTAGAGGTCACTAGAAACAACAGTTGGTTAAACATAATTTTAGAGCAAAGCAATCTCTAGAGAAACATTACCTGCTCTTCCCTTGAAATGGAATGTTGATCAGCACACATTTCAGCACAAACTCCCATTCCAAAGTCATTATAGACATCCCAAAGACCATCTTTAAGCATGCCGTCGACAATAGTATCATGTCCTAATCGAGATCCCTGTCTGTTTACAAATTAGACATTTTTCTGAACAAGCCAAAAGAGAACAAATATGTGTATAGATGAAGCT